AGCTGGGCTGGAAGCCTCATGTACTGTTGTCCTCTAGGTAACCACCCTGAAGAGAAGGGGTGGCATCAGGAACCACAGGGAACTGAGCAGCCTTTGTTCCAGTGCTGCTCCTTGGAACAGTTGATTGCAGACTCAAACCATTTTCCTGGGCAGCTCAGTCATAAAATACCAAATGCTTCCTTAAAATAGCCTCGGAGGGACGGGAGCTGTTGACAAGTGAAGCTCTCAGGTTGTGTGGGATTCCAGCAGGTTATTACAGCTTGTCGGGGAAGGGAGGGTCCATTCCACCAGCTTTGAATCCCAGGGTCCCCTGAGCTTCCCTGGGCCACAGTGTATGTCCCTGGAAGAAGGAAATGGACAGTGAGGATGATGGAGAGACTACAGCTGCCCTGTCTAAAACCTGGGATCTTAAGAGCATTATTTTGGTTTTTTTTTTTTTTAAAAAAAAAAGGAAAATTGGCAATTGTATTAATCCATTCTCGCATTGCTATAAAGAAATACCTGAGACTGGGTAATTTAATTTATAAAGAAAAGAGGTTTGATTGGCTCACAGTTCTGCGGGCTATCCAGGAAGCATAGCAGCATCTGCTTCTGGGGAGGCCTTAGGAAACTTACAGTTACAGGGGAAGGCAAAGGGGAAGCAGACACATCTTACGTGGCCGGAGTAGGAGCAAGGGGGCGCGGGAGGAGGTGCCACACACTTTAAACAACCAGATCTCATAAGAACACTTTCAAGAGGACAGTACCAAGAGGATGCTGTTAAACCATTCATGAGAAATTCACCCCCATGATCCAGTCACCTCCCACTAGTTCCCACCTCCAAGATTGGGGATTACATTTCAATATGAGATTTGGGTGGGGACACACATCCAAACCATATCAGCAGTATTGGACTTTTTTCATGAAAGAGAAAGGGCACAAGAGGGTGTCTGGAGCTAGCCTCTAGAGTGTTAGTATGGAAAATCTCTCCAGTGTTGCCTAGTCTTCCATTCATTGTTCAAATGAAGAAACCCAAAAAGCAGAACTTCCTAAGGGTCACACAGCCAGTTACAGGCAAAAGCCAGATGTCCTGGTTCTCAGTCCTTGCCTGTCCCGTTCTGCCACAGATACTGCAGCCAGAGGCCAGGCATGGTAGCTTATGCCTGTAATCCCAGCACTTTGGGAGGCCGAGGTGGGTGGGTCACCTGAGGTCAGAAATTCGAGACCACCCTGGCCAGCATGGTGAAACCCCGTCTCTACTAAACGTACAAAAATTAGCCAGGTATGGTGGCACAAGCCTGTAATCTCAGCTACTCGGGAGGCTGAGGCAGGAGAATCGCTTGAACCCGGGAGGCGGAGTTTGCAGTGAACCAAGATCGTGCCACTGCACTCCAGCCTGGGCAACAGAGTGAGACTCAGTCTCAAAAAAAAAAAAAAAAAAAGTGTAAAGATATAAAGAAAAAATGTTTTTGTATACTTGCACAGTGTGTGTTTTAAGCTAAGTGTTATTACAAAAGAGTCAAAGTTTAAAGTTAAAAAGCTTATAAAGTTAAAATGTTACATTAAGCTAAGGGTAATTTATTATTGAAGAAGGAAAATTTTTCTTTTTAGAGACAGAGTCTTGCTCTGTTGCTCTCACTGGAGTGCAGTGGTATGATCCTATCTCACTGTAGCCTTAAACTCCTGGGCTCAAGCGATCCTCCTGCCTCAGCCTCCCAAGTAGCTGGCACTACAGGCATGCACCACCATGCCCAGCTAATTTTTTTTTTTCCTGTGGAGATGGGGTCTCACCACGTTGCCCACACTGATCTCTAACTACCAGGCTGAAACAATGCTCCTGCCTTGGCCTTCCAAAGTGTTAGGATTACAGGGGTGAGCCAGTGCACCCAGCCCATTTTTTATACTGTTTTTTACTGTACCTTTTCTAGGTTAGATGTTTAGATACACAAATACCATTGCGTTACAGTTGCCTACAGTATTCAGTACAGGAACACGCTGCACAGGTTTGTAGCCTAGGAGCAATAGGCTATACCATATAGCCAAGGTGTGAGTACACTATACCATCTAGGTTTATGTAAGTATACTTTATGACTGCACAATGACAAAGTCGTCTAACAACACATTTCTCAGAGCATATCCCCATTGTTAAGCATGGGAACTATATAATGCCTTTATTATAGATACATGACTGTATAATAAGGGCTATATGATAAGCCAGAGTTACCAGGGCACTTGGGAAACTTATTTTTTTTATTTTTTAGAGACAGAGTCTCTCTCTGTTGCCCAGGCTGGGATGCAATGACATGATCTTGGCTCCCTGCAACCTCCTCCTCCTGGGTTCAAGCGATTCTCCTGCTACAGCCTCCTGAGTAGCTGGGTCTACAGGCACACACCACCACGCCCGGCTAATTTTTGTATTTTTAGTAGAGATAGGATCTCACCATGTTGGCCAGACTGGTCTCTGACCTCAACTCCTGACCACAAGTGATCCACCTACCTCAGCCTTCCAAAGTGCTGGGATAACAGACCTGAGCCACTGCACCCAGCCTACAAAATGTTTTTAAAAAAATTAGCCAAGCGTGATGGTGCATTCCTATTAGTCCCAGCTACTCAGGAGGCTGAAGTGGGAGGACTGCATGAGTCCAGCAGTTCAAGGCTGCAGTTAGCTCTGACTGCACCACTATACCCCAGCCTAGGCAATAATGCAAGACCCTGTTGGGGGGGTGGGGGGAAACGTACGTGTGTGTGTGTGTGTGTGTGTGTATATACACACACGCACAAAACAGAATTTACCATTTTAACCAGTTTTAAGTGTACAGTTAGTGGCATTAAGTACATTCATAGTGTTGTGCAACCATCA